ACCCAGGCGCATTCTGCCTTCGCATCACGCCCTCGCTTTTTATGATGTCGAAGTAGCTGCACCCTGGGAGCCCCGGAAACGCTGCCCGCTGCAGTCTGACCCCCGCGCGCAGGTACGTCCGAGCGTGGATTGCTCTGCATGGGCCCTCGACGTGGCGATGCCTTTTGGAATTCTTCAGGAGGGAAAAAACACAGACACAATTACTCCTAGATTCCCCAGAAAATATTGGAAAATATGGGAAGTGGTGGGGAAGAGAGAAAACCAGACAATATACGAACATATGGTGTGTATTTTTATATATGTGTATTTCTGTGTGTGTGTCCTGGGGCCCCGCATGTTGCTATCGCTACAGCGTCCTCGAGCATCAGGACCGACGGCGCGTCTTTTCCAGCAGCGGGCGGCAGTCGGGCGGAGGTCGGGCAGAGCGGGAGGGCGGGCGCAGAGAAGCGGCTGCGCGCAGAGCGTTGTGTCCGCGACGCCCTCCCTGCAACTTCGGTGTGGCACCATCTGGGGCTCGTCTGTGGAGTCCCTGCGCCCGAGCGGGGAGCAACAAACCGAGGGGGGCAGATGCCGAATGGAGCCGCGCCGCCGTTCAGGCCCGAACCGATCGCGATCCAGCATTTTCGCCAAGCGGTTCACCAGGCGTTTGTACACTTAGGCAGCAAGCCCGTGCAGGGCTTGGCGCCACCGACAACGTTGGAGAGGGCCATGCAAAACCAGCTTCGAGAACGCCAGCAGATACGAGGTACCCAGCGACGCAAATAGAAAGACTCCGCCGACAGGCTGATACGGGAAGTGCCCGTGCGAGCGGGATGCTAAGAATGATTGGTATCAATTGGTCTATATCGGGGCATCGATGGGCAAATGATGGGCGTGTCTCTTGATGTCCTTCAAACATATACTGGGTCATCGCGCTGGTGGGTCTGTCTCTCGGGATGTGTCAAACATGTGCTGTGCCATCGCAATTGTAGGAATGTTCGTTGATGTGTTTCGAACGTGTGCTGGGCCATTGCGCTGGTGGGCCTGTATCGTCATATCTTCCAAACACGTGCTGGGTCAACTAAGATGGTGGCCACCATTTGATCGTTCAAACATGATGGGCCATCGAACTGCTTGGCCTCTCTTTTGTTTGGTTCAAACACGTGCTGGGCCATCGCATTGGTGGGTGTGTCCTCCTATATAGTTCAAACATGTGCTGGGCCTTATTGGTGGTGGGGTTGTCTCAAGGTGATATCTCGCGCTGCCCGCCCGCCCCCCCGTTAAGGGCTCGACACCTTCGCCGCGGATTACTTGCACGGTCTGTCCAGTGTGGGTGCGGCTGCATCGCGCGTGCGACGTCGCATAACATGTACAGTTGAATCGAGTACGCATGCGCGTTACGTCCATGTATACCACTGTGAGCACGTGGCGCGCGTAGTGTGAGCGATTTTGTAAACGACGCCCGAGCTCCCACAAAGCATGCACCTAAATTGACGCGCAGGTTACGGAGGGGTTGAGCCAAGACATTATGATTCTTGTTTCTGGGGATTCGGAGGCACGGGACGGCTCTGGGCAAGTGTCGCCGTGTTGGTAAACAGATCTGCCACTTGCTCAACGTTGTGGGTCGTGAGTTGATCGCACAACATCTAGTGTAGACTGAGATTCGGCTGCGACCAGTTCGCAGAATGTGGAACAGCAGACGGGCTACAGGCGCACCTCTTCACGGTCCACGAGGCGACGCGGGGACCCGCCCCAGCAGAGGAGATCAGGAGGCTGATGGCGAAGAGAGGCTACGCAGTACCAGCCGAGTTGGTCGTAGACGGCACGTCCGTCGTCTCAGCGCTGGCCATGGACTCCGTGCGCCCGGCGCCAGGGAGCAGCATGGCAGGCCGCTTGTGGTTGCTTGGGAGACCAGCTTCACACCAAACAGCTGTCCGACGTGCCGCGGTGCGCCAACCCGCGACATACGAGTGTATCCCACGACGAAGAGGAGCATCTATAGGATGCGCACCGCCGACGTCTTGGAAGGGAAGTTTGCCTACGTCCACCCCGCGGTGAGCTGAGTGAGGAGCGCAACAAGACGGCAGTGCCAAGCTCCAAGTACATCGCCCTCACCAAGGACAATAACGACGGATGACCCGAGTGCAATCGGACTTGTGATCGTGAGTGTGGCACTGCACATCAAGGATATCTGTAGGAGGATACCTGCACGAGGCGAAGTATGTTCGCGAATCGCGAAACGAAGTAGTGAACCACTCCGCATAAGGCGAACCGTGTTCGCAAAATGCGGCATCGTGTGCCGCACTGTTGAGAGGTTGCTCTCTTGAGATGTGTTCGAGAAGCCGCAGGTGAATTGCCAGGCCGTTTGCTCTGTCGACTGTCTGCTGACATTGTTAGAGGGGTTGGCTGGCCATTGTCGGTTAGTCCCCACACCTTCCACGGGCGCCGCAAAAGGTTTTTGCGCCTGGCGCTCTGGGGGCAAATTCGATCTGGGGGTAGGAAGAAGTCCGTCATCTACGGCACCTGCCGAAACAGATTCATGCACCCCTCTTGCTCTGCAGCTTTGTGGAAGGAGCCCGGTAAGTAGATGGTTCCCAAGCGCTGTAGAGAGGACGCCCACATGACCCGAGAGCGGTTCCCACCTTTGGGTTTTGTTGGCTTGCTTCTCCTCGCGCGAGAGCAAGACCATGTGACCAGAAAGCGTTTCCCACTTGCTGGTTGTGTTGGAACTGTTTAGACCAACGGTTATGCTGTGATTCGGGGAGTTTTGGGCGGTTTGCACTTGGACTGCCACCAAGGCGCGACGGATTCGCTTGAGCACAAAATTCGAAAGGTAGGTGGCTGAGTAAAAGAGCGGCGCAGCTTTGTTGCAGGTGCGCGGGGAAGGCATGGCTTTCCTTGAGCGATTGGCTCAAGGAGGCCAATATATGCGCCCAGTATAATACACACATCGGTATTGGACACCGCTTTACAACATACAAATGAAGATTTCTCCTGTCCCCGATCTACATTTTTAGTCTCCTCCTCTTCGTATCCGAAGTCAAGATATGGAATGCTCTCTGTTCCTCCTCTCAGATCCCCGCCCCCGCCCCGTGCTCCCAGCTCCCCCCTCGCCGCCCACTGCCTCCCCTTCCGGCCCCTTCAGCCTTGTCCTTTTTTCCGCCCTATCTCTTTTGTCCTCCGGCCCGTTGGTTTGACGGAGTAAATGTTTTTCCCGTTGTTGGCGGTGTGTCGCCCACGTCGCATCAAAATTTGGCAAGAGAGGGGTGTGGCGCACAGCCCAGCCGAACGCAGAAACATGCCGCCGCGCAGATGTCGCTTGAAAGTGGCGTTCCCGCTCCGGCGCGGTGCAGATTTTCATGCTTTCCACTCGTCAAGTTTCGGGGCCCTGCGCGAATGGGCGATTTGTCGCTCTCACCCAACATCCGTGCACATTTCGTTTGAAACTCGTGGTCCCGCGCGGATGCGGCGCATGACAGCGACAGCGGCAGCGGCACCGAGGCCGCGCGAAAACGACCGACGTGTTGTTTTCGCCCAGGATTCGCCCAGGAGCTTTGCAGCTCGCGTGTGAAAATGGCATCGTTTTTTCCGGTGCGGTTGTCTTCGCCGCGCTCGTCGGAAGTTTTGCAGTCGCCGCCCCTGGGCGGCCCCGCGTAGTTCTCCATTCGCAAAGTCGTCGGAAGCGGGACCGCGCGCGAGCGTTGTCCGTTGGTTATGTGGAAGCGCGTTCCAAGTCCAGGCGCTTCGCGTGGCTCCACTTGCTCATCTGGAGACGATGCACAGAGGAGTTGCCTCGCTGAGGGAAATGGGGAGCACACAGAGAAAGGGTCCCCCTTGGAGCGCTCTTGGGACACTGTTGGGCGCTCTTGGGGCCGTAGTAGGGCTCCCCTGGGCCTCTCTTGCGTCTTGGGGGCCTCTTTGCGGTCCCGGGGGCCTCTTGGAGCGTCTCGGGTGCCTCGGGTTGCCTCTTGGGGCCTCTTGGGGGTCTCTTGGGAGCCTCTTGGAGACCTGTTGGGCGCCTCGTGGGGCCTCCTTGGCGCCTCTTGGCGCCCACTTGAGGCGCTCTTGGGAGCCTTGGGAGCGCTCTTGGGGCCACCTTGGACGACATAGATCAATCAAGAGGGGAGCTTCAATTAGGGTCCCCCCTCGGAAGCCCCCAAAGTCGCCTCTTGGGGTGCTCTTGGGGCGCTCTTGGAGCGCTCTTGGGCGATCTTGGGGCCGTCTTGGTGCTCTCTTGAGCCTCTGTTGGAGCTCTCCCGTGCCATCTTGGAGCCATCTTGAGGCATCGGATGGCCATCGGAAGCGAAAAGGCTCAAAGCAAACCAACATTGATGGACGTTAGGTTTTGAAAGGATTTGGACCTCTTCGGGGCCTCCTTGGGGAGCTCTTTGGCCACTTGGAGCGGTCTTGGGGCCTCTTGGAGCATCTTGGGAGCCATTTTGAGGCAATTGGGGATATCTTGAGCCATCTTGTAGCTCATCTTTGGAGGCGCTCTTGGAGCCATCTTGGGCCATCTTGGACGCTCCATAGATTTCGGACGGTGTTTGGATTATGTTTGAATATGCTTGGGCTAGTTTTAATTTGTCGTCCAAAATCCGCCTCTGGGAGGACATGGCCGACCTAAGGGTATGGGGAGGGGTAAGCCCCTCCCCAAGGGGAAGAGGGGCAGATGGAAGACAAAACACCCTAGACCACCTACGCCCTAAAGGGCTGGTTGGATTCCAATGCCAAATTGTGTTGCAATTGGTTATTACTTTATGAGAGGGATGCTGGGGATGGGTTGGACCCCATGATTCGCTCGACCCAGCCAGCTCGGTTTTACTGCTCCTCCTCCTCCTCTTCCTCCTCCGTGTCCTCCTCCCCCTCCTCCTTGTCCTCCTCTTTTCAGGATCCACGGGGCCGCCCCATGGCGCAGACCTGCCAGAAATACTCCTGAGCTGTTGAGCCGCCGGCAGCCGGCATCTGAACATGCAGAGGACGCGGGCGCAACGACAGGGCGTTTCTTCTCGCAGCCCAGGCCCCAGCAGAGCGGCCCCCGCCCCCCTCGACCTCTCCGCCCTCCGTTGCGCTTCCGCTCTCCAGAGGAGTGAAGGTCACACAAAGAGTGTTCGGAGGCCCGCGCGGATTTCCTGGAGCGGCGATGAAACCCCCCTGGCGGCGATAATCTTTGGTGTTCGCATTTCCTCTATGATTCCTCGCCCCCTGCAGCGCCAATCCCCACGATTCCAGCGCCCTTTTACCTCGTCAGCTTCGGCTCCCATGTTTGCACCGCTGGTTGCCGACCTTCCGACCCTGGCCGTGTCCGTGCACATCCAGCCTCTGACCTCCCAGGCCGTCTCCTCAGGGCCTAGGCCCCCCGCGCTGCCCCTCGGGCGCAAAAATTACAAACCGTTCCCACGAAGACCTCGTTCGAAGCCCACACAGGCACAAGCATAAGCTTCCGGAGGTCCGCGCAGATCTCTTGGATCGGCGCTGGACCCCCCTCCCTGGCGAGCGGCGCGCGCCAGGATCGCCGCCACAGGCGCCGCCAGAGGGTCCGTCGCAGACCGAAGAAGTCCACCCAGACCTCCGAACGCTCATGTTTACGAAACTCCTCCTCCTCCTGAGCTCCCAGCAATTGCCTCCTAACCCCATCCCTGAGATCCGACGCAGCGCACTAAGCACGACGCCGCAAGAAATCGCGACCAGAGCCCCAGACCTTGCTGGTCTGCGCCAGTTCTCGAGCCGGATCGGCCTGTGAGGGTCCTGGGGCCCGAAGCGGGGCGAAGACGCCTAGCTCGAAAGACATCAGACGCCAGGATCTCAGGGATCGGCCACAAGCAGCGGCACGCCGCGCGACCGTCGGGAAACGCGTGCGCGACAGCACCCGAGGCGACCATGGTCGCCTCGGGTGCTTCAGCGCACGCGCTCCACACTTCTTCCTCCTCCTCCTCCTCCTCCTCCTTCTCCTCCTCCTCCTCCTCCTCCTCCTCCTCCACAATTACTCAATCTGAAAGTACTCTCCCTCTTCCCCTGATGGCGTCCGGGTGATGGCCGCGCACCCTCCGCGTACTGTTTTCTACACACAGGATTCCCGGGAAATCCCGGGAAACGACTCTCGCTGAGGCGCCGGCGTCATTTTTTCCCAAAATGCTGCTCTCGTTGAGGCGCCGGCCTCCTTTCTGCTCCCGAATCGTTCCGAATCGTGCTCCCGCTGCAGCGTGGGCCTCATTTTCGGATCGGTGTTTGGCCTCCGTCGTTCAGGATGGCGTTCTCGCCCCAGCGCGGGCCTTTTTCTCGCGCGCCCATCCGCCCGCCACCACCGCGCCGCACCGCCACCACCACCACCACCACCACCACCACCACAACCACCACCAGCCCAGCACCAGTACCAACACCACCACCACCACCACCACCACCACCACCACCATCACCACCACCACCACTACCACCACCACCACCACCACGACAACCACGCACACACGCACGCACGCACGCACGTGCACCAACACCCACTACGCACGCGCGCGCGGAGCCACAGGTCCGCTACGACACGCGTCCGCGGATAGAGAAAATCAGCGCCATGGTAAAGGATGGAAGGGAGGGGTAGGACGTCAGATATGACGCGAGCGCACCTAGCTTGTCCTCCTCCCCCTCCTCCTCCTCCTCCTCCTCCTCCTCCTCGTCCTCCTCCTTCTCCCCCTCCTCCTTCTCCTTCTCCCCCTTCTCCTCCTCCCCCTCCTCGTCCTCCTCCTCCTCCCCCTCCTCCTCCTCCTCCTCGTCCTCCTCCTCCTCCTCATGTATTACGGACGCGGGGCCCAGGCCGGCCGAGTCGCGGACCGAGAAGTCCCTGGCCGCCGCGGCGCGGCAGGTGCGCGCCCGAAGACGGCGGGAGCACCCTGGACAAGAGAGGCCCCCTCTTGAGATCTTCGCTTAAGTCGGGCCTGTCCCTCTACAGGGGGAATCTATATATATATATATATAGATATATCTACATATGCATATATATATATATATATATATATTGAATAGTCAGGGGACGATTTTTTCCATGTTTGAATTTGTCTGGGTATTTGTTATTCTTCGCCCAAAATCCCCCTGTACGGGGACAGGCCCGACCTAAATCTTGGCGTCTCAATCTATTCGCGCCCGGCGCTTTCGCTTGGTTTCGGGCCTGAGGACCCTCACGGGCCGATCTTGCTCGAAAAATGACACCGAGAAGTGGAGACGGGGGTTTTGGTCGTGATTTCTTGCGATGTCGCTATTGTTTGCAATGCCGGATCTCAGGGGTGTACCCAGCACAATACAGACACCGAGAGCATCGGGGTTGGTGGGGCTTCGTGTTGCCGACAAGCAGCCCCACCGGGCAGCCTTGGCTGCCTCAGCAGGCCCTCCGAGTTGCCTCAACAGTCCCCCAGTGTAGCCCAGGGCGGTCTCCACACCCTGGCGCCGCCTCTGGCGGCGCCCCTTGGGCGCTCTTCTCGTACCGCGTTTTGGCGGACGTCGGGAATCCGCAGGAATTCCACCGACCGCCAGGGTAAAGCTTTCCACAGGGTGCGTGCAGCCACGACGCTGAAACTAGGAGCAGTTCAGGTTCGGAAGAGTCAGCTGTTCCGCGGGCCCTTCTGTGTCAGCCCCCCTGGCGCTCCTCGTACACCCCAGCGCAGTTCGTGCCAGAACGGCGCTTCGCTAATTATTTGGCGTTCTTTGTTGCAGCAGTTTGCCCGCAAGTGCAGTCGAGACGCTATGATGAGGACCTTTGCGGCATGGGCTCTAGTTTTCTGGGCCTTCCCTAGGATCTAGGTCGGGGAGTCTGTTCGTGGCCGAGGCTCGCCGTGGCCAGAAAAGTCCATCCGTCCCGTCTACATCACTCCTTATGGTAGCGCGATGACTGTAAGCTCCGCTCCACGCATTCATTGCGTGTGTGAAGTATGTTTCTGGCAGACCAGCGGCATCGCCCCCCTTTCAAAATTCGCGGCCATCATCGCTTCCAGACCTCCCCCACCTCCGCGTGCTGCAGCCTCTAGCCCCAGACAACAAGATGTAGGGTTCCTGTGGGGTCGCCGCCAGCTTAGCATCCTCCCTTTTTCCACTAGTCTGACTACTCGTCCGCCTCCTCATGTTCCCTGTGACCCTACCTCCGACCCCCCCCTGATGCGCCCTGATGCCTGACTCCTGATGGGATGGCATGAAGTCCTCACGGGTGCTGCCAGTGCTCCTCGCCTGCGTGCGCCGAATGGCACAGCACGCAGGGACCATTCCGAAACTTGGCCAATCGCCGGTGAGGGGGCCGGCGAGGGACGAAGGGGGAGAGACGGACGGGGGGCCCGAAACGAAAGGGCGAAGGGGGCACGAACGGACGGCCGAGCGCAGGAGGTGGGGAAGCGATGAGAGAGAGATCTGCGGGACGGCGGCGGCCCGATCCGTTCGGGCTGTGCGCTCCTGCTCCTCCTCCTCCTCCTCCTCCTCTTCCTCCTCCTCCTCCTCCTCCTCCTCCTCCTCCTCCCCACGGACGTCGATCCCCCCCACGTAACCATCACAACATCCCCCTCCCGCCGGCCCCCTCAGGGCCACAACATCGAAGCCGGAGTTCTGGTCGACGAACCTGTACTCGGGTTGCGGGGCCTTGCTGAGGTGGGCGGTGTCGTCGGTGCTGGTGGCTGTGTTGGTCTTGGTGTTGTTGTCGACGCATGCGTCGCTGCTGGCGTCGCTGCCGGCCCGAGTGTTGACGTCGAGGCTGGCGACCTTTCCAATGCCGGTGCTGCTAGCGATGAACATCACTGCTGTTATCGCCGTGGTCGTCGGCGTTGGCGCCAAGGTTGGTGGTTTTACTAGTGTCAGTGCCGATGATGATGCAGGCGTCGTCGCTGGGTGTTGTTGCTGAAGTCGTCGGGGACGTCGGGGCTGTTGGCTGTGCTGGCGCTGGTGGCGATGTCGATGCAGGCGTCGCTGCTGGCGTCGCCGCAAGCGTCGGCGTTGGCATCGAGACAGGTGGTGGTGCTAGCGCCAGTTCTGCTGTCGAGGCAGGACTCACTGCTGGCGTCGCTGATGGCTCCGTTGCAGACGTCAGTGTTGGCGCCAGGGATGGTTATTGTGGTTGTTCCGATGCTGGTGTGGACGGAGGCGTCGCTGCAAGCGTCGCTACAAGAGCCGATGTCGGCGTTGGACATGATAATTGTTCTGGTGTTGGCGCTGATGCTGATTGGGGGCTCTGTGGCCCTGGGAACGTTCCCGCTTTCAGGGCTGTGTGACCTGAAAAACATCCCCGCTTTGAGGGCTCCTCCTCTCCTGCTGCTGTCGCTGCTGCAGTCGTCGATGCAGGCGTCGATGGTGGCTTTTCTGCGGGCGTCGGTGCTGGCGTCGAAGCTGGTGGCTGTGCTAGTGCCATTGCCGGCGTCGATGCAGGCGTCGTTGATGGCGTTGCTGCAGGCGTCGGCGGTATCGTCGAAGCCAGTGGCTGTGCTGCTGCCGATGTTGAGGTCGATGCGGGCGTCGTTGCTGGCGTCGCTTTTGGCATAGGTGTTCTCGTCGACGTTGTTGGCTGTGCTGACGTGGGTGGTGGTGCCGGTGTACGCTTCGATGCTGGCATCGATGCTGGGGTCAACGCTGATGGCGAGGTAGGCGTTGGTGCTAGCTCCGGTGCTGTCGACGATGCTGGCGTCATTGCTGGAGTCAGTACTGGTGCCGATGGAGACGTCGATGGTGACGTCGAGGCTGGTGGTTGCGCTGGTGGCGGTAGTGGTTTCGGTGCGGGTGCTGCTGGCGTCACTGCAGACGTCGGTGACGGGGTCGGGGTCGACTCATAATCTCCAGGCAGTGCACGGGGCAGTCGGCTGGCATCAGTCCCTGCTCTTGTCGACTCTGTTGCCGTTGCTAACGTCGATGCTGGATTCGGCGGTGGTGGAGGTGATGATGATGATGATGATGATGATGATGATGGTGGTGGTGGTGGTGATGATGATGATGAGGATGACGATGATGATGTCGTCGCTGCAGGCGTCGGTGTGGCACGTCGGTCGGCCATGGTGGCCAGATTCAGAGGCCGCGGTCGGGGAGCCATTGGTGCTTCAGTCTGTGCTGGCGTCAGTGCTGTCGTCGATGCAGGCGTCGATGATGGCGTCGCTGGAGGCGTCGTTGCTGGCAACGATGCTGGTTGTTTTGCTCGTATATCTGCTGACTGTGCTGGTGTCGCCCCAAGCGTTGGCGTTGACACCAATGCCGGAGGCCGTGCTGGCGCTGGTGCTGACGTCGATGCTGGCGTCGCTGTGAGCGACGATGTTGGCGTCGATGCTGGAAGGTCTGCTGGTGTCCGCGCTGGCGTCGCCGCAGGCGTCGGCGTTGGCGTCGATGTTGAGGGCTGTGGTGTCGTCGGTGAAGACCGAGGCGCAGGCGTGGAATCTGACGTCCCTGCAGGCGTCGTTATTGGCGTCGGTGCTTGATGATTTGCTGGCATCGGTGCTGGCGGCGCTGCAGGCGTCGGTATTGGCGTCGGTTCTGGTGGTTGCGCTGGTATTGGTGCTGACCTCGATGCTAGCGTCTCTGCAGGCGTCGATGCTTCGGTCAATACTGGAGGCTCTGCTGGTGCGAGTGTTGACGTCGATGCGGGAGTCGATATTGGCGTCGATGTGGACACAGATGTTGGCATCGATGCTGGAGAAGGTGCTGGTGTCGGCTCTGATGTCACTGAAGATGTTGTCGTAGCTATAACCGTCAAAGTTGGCGTCGATGTTGGGAGTTCTCCCAGTGTCGGCGCTACCGTCGATGCGGGCGCCAGTGCGGGCTTCGCTGCAGGCGTCGGTATTGACATCGGTGGTGCAGGTTGTGCCAGTGTCAGTGCTGACGTCGATGCAGGCGTTGCTGGTGGCGTCGTTGCGATCGTCGTATCTGGCGTCGGTGTTGTATACGATGGTGGTAACAATGACGACGTCGCCGCAGGTGTCGGCGTGGTAGGAGTATGAAGAAGTACGGCCAAACTTGAGAGCAACGGTCAGGGAGCCGTGGATGGTGACGTCGATGCTGGCGTCTGAGGTGACGTCGATTCAGGTGTCGACGCAAGCTTACCTGAAGGCGTAGCTGCTGCCGTTGATGCAAGCGTCGCTGTTGGCGTCGCTGCAGGCGTTACTGGTGACGTCGGGGCTGGTGCCGTCGCCGCTCCCTTAGCTGATGGGGTCGGTGGCGGTGGTGGCGGTGCTGGCGTGGGCAGACCGCGGGATGGGTCGTTGGATAGGGAGGGTGGGAGGGCATCGGACATGCCGTCGGTGGGAGCGTCGGGGATGACTTCGTGCGGATGGTCGGCGAATCGGACCTGTCCGAGTCGTGCTGTCCGTCGTTGGCCGCGTACGAAGGGTGGCGTCGGCACTGTCGTTCAAGCTGGTGTGGGTGTCCGTGCTGGCGTAGGTGCTGCGCCGATGCTGGCTACAATGCTGGCTCGTGATGCTCCCGATGATGTTCATGATCGTGCTGCTGGAGTCCGTCCTGCCGATTGTGCTGGTGGCGCCCGTCACCATCGACGTGGGTGACGGCTTCGGGTGGTTGAGACCCTGCTGGTGTCTGTGCCGACGTCGCTGCCGGTGTCGTTGTGGGCATCGCTGCAGGCGTCTGTGACCGCGTCGGTGCCGCCGCCGCCGCCCCCCCAAAGTGCAGGTCATGGTCTTTCTCCCCATCCCCATCCTGCTCCTCTTCGGCCTGGGCGTATTCCTGGGCGGCCGGGGTGAAGGGAGGGAAGGTGAGGAAGCCGTAGTCGTGGTCGTCCTAGCGGTGCTGCTCGTGGTTGCACTCGTGGCCGTGGGGCCGTGATCGTGGTGGAGGCCGTGGTGCACTTGGTCGGTGCTGGTCTCGGCTGGCACCTGGATGGCGATGCACTTGTGCTCCGTGGTGCTGTGGCTCTGGTTCGCAAAATTTTGCAAAAAAACGAAGGATTGCAAAAAAACGAAGGATTGCAATCCTTCGTTTTTTTGCAAAGTTTTGCAAACAAATTTTTGCAATCCTTCGTTTTTTTGCAATCCTTCGTTTTTTTGCAATCCTTCGTTTTTTTGCAATCCTCCGCTGCCCGTGGACGGCGGCCTCGCGTGCGGCCGCGCGCCGGCGTCGGGCCTGACGCCCCGGCCACCGCGGGCCCCGCCGCGGCGGCGCCTGCCGCGCGGCCCCTGCGCGGGCCGCCGCGCGCTCGGGGCAGCCCGCGCAGCTGCACCGGCACCTCGTCGCGGTCTCCGCTCGGGCCGGGCGAAAGGGGGGGATTGGGAAAGGGGGGGTTACGAAATTTGCTGCATGCAGCTGATTTCGGCCTCACCGAGGGGCTCATTCCTCGATACATAGCCGCCTCCGGCGCCGGGAGGCGCCGGGAAAATCAGCTACGTGAGCTGATTCTCAACCCCCCCCTTTGCTATCCCCCCCTTTCGCCCGACCCGATCCGCGGCCGCCGGCGCGGGGCCGGGGCGCTCCGCTGGTCGCCGCCGTGCGGGAGGGGGGCGCCCCCCCCCACCGAGCGCGGGGGGGGGGGGTCCCCGCAGGTGGCGCCTTCGTGCGCCGCCCTCCTGCGCCTCCTCTTCCGCGCCACATCCTGCTGCTCTTTCTGCACAGCCCCCCTTCCTGGCCTCCCTCCCTCCCCTTCCCACTCACTTTCTACCCGCTTTGCCCTCGGTCCACGCTTACGTGAATAGGAGGAGGCCCAGGAAGAGGGATGGAGGGCGGATGAGGAGGATGATGATGAGGAGGAGGCTCCTAATCCTTTTCCCTGGTTCCGCACCCACTGCTCTTAGGAATTGGGAGGAAGTGAAGTGGGGTTGTGCAACAATATTGCTTTGTCAGGGCACCTCGGGTTTCTTTGTTTCGCGCGCTACGTGGTGTTTCCTCTTTTTTCCTTATCACGAAACTGCTGCATTCTGGTGGCTCTGAATTTGTCCCCAGTTGCACCGCCCGCGTTGACTAATAGTGTTTGGTATCGTGTGGATGGTTCTTGCGGCTGCGTGCGCACTGTACTTCATACGACAGAGAGACAGAGAAAAAAAAAACAACAAAAAGTAGAGGCCACGGACGGAATCTAGCTGCGATAAGGACGAGGAGGAGGAGGAGGAGGAGGAGGAGGAGGAGGAGGAGGAGGAGGGGCATGCCTGGAGGAGGATGCTCCCAATGATCCTTCCTCCCCTGACTTAGCCGCTGCCCTCGACAGCCCTAGCGCTGAAAGAAGCACGGGTTTGGGCTCAGCGCGGACTTTGTTTCCCCGCCGCTCCCGACAGTCAGGCCAGGGAGCCCCTCCGTGGCCGAAGCTCGCCTTGGCCAGAACAATCTCTTCCTCTCTTGGCCAGCCTTCCTGCCGGTGGTCGCACGATGATTGTACCCCCTCCGTGACCTGGCCCTGCCCCTCCGCCTTCCCGTCCGCGCCCCCTAACCGCCTCTCAATTCGCTGTCGAGTCCAGCCCCAGCATGCAGAGAGTGCGGCCCTCTTCCTCCTCGCCCGCTTCTCGCGCAGCCCGCCCTGCTCCGTCGCCCTCCTTTCTTCCCTCCACATCCCTTCCCCCCCTTCCCTCCTACTTGGCGTTGCTTGGCATTTTATTATTGTTTGGCATGTTGCTTGACACATCGCTTGCCATTGCGCGGCATTGGTTGGCATTGCTTGGCATGACTTGGCAATGGTTGGCATTGCTTTTCATTGTTTTGCCTGGCATTGCGCGGCGTTGCTTGGCGAGGCAGCAAGGAAACAAAGCAAGGGATTCAGACCAAGGGGTCAAGAAACAAAGACCAAGGAATCAAGAAACCAAGGAACGATTGGATCAAGATCAGGGAGCGAAGGAACCATGGCCATGGAACCAAGCAGCCAAGGAACGAAGACCAAGAATTTCGGGGAAGGCTGGCCGACGCAGGCCCAGCACCCACCAGATCTCCAGCCACAGGTAAGAGCCTCTTAGGCAAGGCCTTGATGGGGAAACTGGTGGAGGGCGGAGCAAGGGGACAGGAGCAGCAGTTCGAGAAGCAGAGGGGGACGTCGAAAACGGGGGAGGAGAAAGCCATTACGCTCCTCCTCCGCGTCCTCGTCTCCCCGCGCCCTGGTCGTCTCCAGTCCTCCTCGCTCTCCTCGCCCTCTCGGCCGAGCCCAGGGTCGTCGAGCGCGCATCGGGCGGCGGCGTCGCCGCACTCTGGCCCCGCGCGCCGCGCCGGCGGCGAGCGGAGCAGGAGGCATGGCTGGAACGGCGGGGGAGGAGGATCGGATCGGATAGCACAGGCTCCTCTAGGGGAACAAAAAGTGACATACACAGAAAAACTCGGAGGTCCGCGCGGACTTCTCGGATCCGCGCTGGACCCCCCTGGCGGCGCCTCCGGCGCCGCCCCTGGCGCGCTCCGCGCGACAGGGAGGGTGGTCCAGCGCCAATCCGAGAAATCCGCGCGGACCTCCGAGTTGTTATGTTTACGTCACTTTTTGTTCCCCTATCCTCGTCGTCCTGTGTGGGAAAGCGAAGGCAGCAGTGGGAGGCAGACGCCTGCGACAGCCGAGCTGAGCTACGGGGGAGCAGCATCCGCTGGGGCCCGGCCAGCTCCCAGCCCTGGGGAAGAGGAGAGAAAGTCGGAAGCCGGGCAAGGGCTGCTAAATCCGTGGCTGCTAAAATCGACCTCCGGGAAGTTGTCTTCGTCCTTCCGGGAAGAAGCCCGTTGACTGTTTCGCGTGCCGCGCCTCATTCCGGGAAGTTGTTTTTTCCTTCCGGGAGGGCCGTTTTAGCAGCCACGGTGTTAGCAGCCCTCGCCCAGCTCCCCAGAAAGGAGGGCGACGACAAGGTGTCTTCTTCATTCTGGGCGATGTGCCCAGCTGTCGGCCTCTGGGGCCCGCCTTCGATCCTCAGGGTCAGCAAGCACGGTTCTGGGGCGAAACGCGATGTTTGGTCATCGTGGTGTTGGATCTCCGTTTTGAAGAGACAGTGCCCCGCGTTCCTTCCTCCTCCCCCTCCCCTTCCAACCTCCTCCTCCTCCTCCTCCTCCTTGCGACTGCCCTCCACACGTTTCTGTTTCGGCACACCCCTCACTCTTTTCGTGGCCTCATGGCCGGGCTACCCCAGGGGAGGGGTCGACCACTGAGCCGAGCGTCCAGAAGGACGCATGGGCAGAAGAGTGCGCGATTGGCAGCCCTTCGGGGAAATCGCAAGGACAGCGTTGCAGAGCGACTACGTGCACACAGAAACTCGATCATGAAGCGGGAACGGAGCGCCGCACGAGTGTGACGCGGACCTTTGGGGCCGCGGATTGAAAAACACATCGGCGGATGTCAGGGGAGAGGGTCGGGGGACGCCACCTATGGTCAGGAACGTTTGTTCAGCTTGTCGCGGCGCCGATCCTGGTCGGCCACGCTTCGTCGCGACGCGCTGAGCAGGTCCTAGTCTCTGGCCCCCAAGCATCAGCGTCCGGAGCTTCTCCCAGCCCCACATCCCACGAGGCAGAACGATACGCCACCAGCGTGCAAGGCATAGCGTGTCTCGGGTCGGGCGAAAGGGGGGGATTGGGAAAGGGGGGGTTACGAAATTTGCTGCATGCAGCTGGTTTCGGCCTCACCGAGGGGCCCATTCCTCGATACATGGCCGCCTCCGGCGCCGGGAGGCGCCGGGAAAATCAGCTACGTGAGCTGATTCTCAAACCCCCCCTTTGCTATCCCCCCCTTTCGCCCGACCCGAAGGGACCGCCGCCGCCACACGCAGAGCAGAAGCTCCGGGCCGCAAGGGGAGCGACGAGGGGCGAGGAGGCAGTCAGGAGCAAGCGCAAGGGTGCATCGCCGATGCTGCAGTGCGCCCTCCCTCCCCCAAGCCCGCCTTCCTCCTGCTCCTCCTCCTCCTCCTCCTCCTCCTCATTCTCCTCCTCCTCTCTCATTCTCCTCCTCCTCATTCCTCCCCTCCTCCTCCTCATTCTCCTTCTCCTCCTCCTCCTCCTCCTCCTCCTCCTCCTCATTCTCCTCCTCCTCCTCTTCATTTTCCTCCTCCCCCTCCTCCTCCTCCTCCTCCTCATTCTCCTCCTCATTCTCCTCCCCCTCCTGAGAGACCGGCCCCCCGTGGGCCTGCCTTCCAGGCGGGAGCGCGGTCGTGATAGCGAGGAGGGAGGTCTTGCCCTGCAGCCGCAGCCCGCGTCCTTCGGTATGGCGCACGCCGTTGCGCCAAAATTTTGGGGGTTAAAACACCCGCGGGGGGGAACAACAACCCGAGGGTGAAAAAACCGCGGGGGGGAAAAAACCGGGGGTGAAAAAACCATGGGGGTGAAACCCGGTTTTATCACACCCGAGCCCCCGGGGGGTGAACAAAAACATTGTTTCTTTCACCCCGAGCCCTGGACGGGGCGCGGCGGAGAACTCTGTCGAAGCCCTCGCCCGCCCCCCCAGTGCGCGGGCTGCAAGCCGCCAGCCACACCCTTCGCAGTCGCCGAGCGTCGCCTTTTCCAAAGTGTGCGTGCTGCCCAGAAAAAAACACGCAGATGGGGCCGTCCAGCCGCCGTGATATCGATATTGCTTTTGCCCTCGAACTCTGTGTAAGCACGGCTACATTGAAGCAGCAGGTCGCGCGGGCACTTCGGATCCTCAGGGCAGCCCGTGCGACTTACATGGAAGGCCCCGCGCGCATCGAATGCTAAGCCTCGTCAGTCGCGGAGCGACGCGGTTGGCTGTATAGTTTCTTGCCAGCACAATGTGGCTGCAACAATGGATCTATCCTCTTTCTGCTTGCTCTTTTTCATTCGGAGAAGTCCTCGTCAGTCGCGGAGCGACGCGGTTGGCTGTATTTTTCTTTGTCAGCACAAAGCGGCTGCGGCAATCGTTCCATCAAATTCCCTCTCCTTCGTACTTTTCCCTCGGAGGAGGCGGAGGACGACGAAGAGGGGGACCGGCGATTGCGAACGTGCATGCGGGCCCGGCGTTGCGGAGACGACGGGCCCGAGCGCAGCTCCCAGATTAAGACCGGCACGTGTGGATTGCATGCGCGTTTCCAGAAAGGGGAGATTCTTACCTCGTCGGCGGCGTCGACGGTCCCAAACCGCAACTGCTTGTGTCAGCACCAGCGCCATTACGGATGAGAAAATTCAGTATTATCGTCGGTGGTACGAGTTCCGTTGAGAAGCGTTTGGTGATTGTTGGACCTCTATCGCTTAAAAGTCCAAACCTCATCCGCACAGGTTTCCATGTGTCGGCTCTACGGGTAATATGGAAGCAGAATGTTGGCGCGTCATTGCGGCTGAGTGAGTTTAGTTTCGTGTCCAGCTGCAGTCGTTCCGTTTTGAAGCATTTTGATGATTCGTTTGAGCCGCGTTCAAAGTAACCCGAGTCGAATCACATGGTGTTCGTGGATCATGGATTAGAACAGGGGTTTGTAGTTTGGAAGTTGACCATTTTTATCGCATCATGGGTGTACCCCAGAGTTGGTATGTGATGCTGTTGCAGCTCGCAAGTTCCGCAGCTGTATATGAACAACGCTTCCTGGAAACATGCATCGCGGTAGGAACATGAAATGGATACGTCCAGATCGTCCTCGCGTTCACATGGACGTCCGTGCTATGTCCGTGTGAAAGTGATTGACCGATGCTCGTTCAGGGCAAAGCTGCTGCACCGAATGATGATATGCTTCGTGAGTCATCTTCCTCCTCTCCCTCGACCGCTCGCCCGGGCAATATTTATCACGGGTCGCTCCTTTTGTCAGCCTTTGCTTGTCTTAGGGGCCAGGATGATTTATCCGTCCAGGCTGGCGCTTACAGCAAGCAGTAGCAGATCCGTGACAGCACCATTGGAGCTTTGCGGTTGTTCTGCGTCCTTCTCCCTCCCCCAAAAATGTCCATGATCATGTGGATGGTGTTTTGTTGGTTTTGTGAAGCCGCTTCATAGGTGTGTCTCGAGCACCAGAGATGCACCGTAACGATGCTTAGCGTGCCGCACTTCAGTGGTGGGCTTTCTCGTTTTGCAAAGGGGTCGTCGTGGGTTTTAGTTGTAGTTGTTCCGTTGCACAGCCCATGCTACTTTCGGCATGCTTCACGTCTGGTTTGGAGCCCGATCAATGACTTGTCGGGCGGGGCCTTCTTAGATTTGTTCATGAGCCTTCGGAGCTCTCCTGGGGCTTGTGAGCCCGAGGTCCGTCGGATGCCCAGAAGGCGATTGCGCTGAAATCGTTGAGCTGCAATTTTGTTTCCGGTGATTCTATTTTACTGTGGCGTCCTTGGGGTGCTCCAGAGACACATCAAGGAGTGTCGGTGTTGTATTGGGGCCTTGAAGGGTCACGCTGGAGGCCAAGCCTATCTTGCGCAGTCGCAGGCGCCAGTTTCCCAAAACAGTGCTTAAACTTTCGGTGTTCCACTCGTGTGTCAAGAAACCCTTCATTGGCTGTTGCACTGTTCCCAGTGGATGCCCAATTCCCGGTGAGTTGGCTCCCCATGGAAGCCCAAGGTTCGGGTTGCCTGGCCGCCATCGGATGGACAGCCATCGGTAATAGAAGCAGATGGCGTGAAGGCGACGCTCGTGTGGTGCGCCGCGAGTACCAGGTGCGACAGTCGCACCAGCTGCGCCGGATGCCCAAGGGGCTACAGCGTGCCAGGCGCGCCTGGTGCGCCAGATGTGCCGATACCTACATGTGCGCTGAGTGCGCCGCAGTCTCCAGCCGCGCCAGGTGCGCCACGCGCCACAAATGCAGAGTGCACCAGCTGCGCAAGTGTACGTGACAGCACACATGCCAACACCCCCACCGTCCTTGCCAAAAGCCAGACTACAACATTGCGGATGATTGATTAGCACGGTGTAGGATGCGCAATCAGAATCACTTCGCATTGGTTTTTGGTATTGGTACCTGGCGAGCGTACCTCGGGCCATTATGCCTCCAAGCAAACGCTGTCAAAAGCGATTCCAACATGATCATAGAGCGCCTGCTCATGGTCCACAGACCGCCGCTACTTACAATGTAAGAACCTGTTTGTTGGCAAGATCGGGATGGGAGTCATGGCTCCTGGTCGGTGGCAGGTCCAGCGCAAGGGATGTTTATTCGTATAGATTTCGCGTAAAACCTCTCCCCTTTGGTGAGCGCTTGCAGAGAGAACCTTCGGAGACGACAACTCTAGGCCGCCCCAGAGGGCTGGCACGATCAAGGGTCCCGCCCCTCCAGCCGCATATCGTCCCGCCTTCCATTGCGAGTTATATTACCAGCCTGGAACATATCCCTATCCCTATGCTGGGCATCTCCTCATCACGATGCCAATCTTAAGGATCCCCTTATTTTTTGAGGGCGCATCCCTAAGATTGTCATCGCCTTTTGGCGTGCCAATCTTTGGCATAAGGATAAGTTCGAGGCTGGTAGTTAGAGCTCACGAGGGCCAAGGAGGCCCCAGGAAGCTTCAGGAAGGTCAGGGGGGCACGGCAAACCCCCAGAAGGCCACAGGAGACCAGAGAGCCCAGGAGGCTTCAGGCGAGCCCACCAGGCCCCAGGATCCCCATGAGGGCTCATCAGGCGCCAGGATGTCCCAGGAGGCCCCAGGAGACGAGAGGAGGCCGCAGGAGGCACCAGGAGGCACCAGGTGGGCCCAGGAGACATATTTCTGGTCGGCGAAATACATCCCGTGCGTGCCCGCTCGAGGAAAGTGCCCCCAGGGGGATATCCAACATGAGGTCGTCGGCTTCTTCGCATGTGAAGGACGTGTGCGGAGGAGATATCCAAGATGCGTCTGGCGCGCGTCGCGGCCCTGGGGACGCGGACACAGCATAATTGACCAATGATCTTGGACCTGGGAGCGCTGACGCCGTGTACTTCACTAAGGATCGTGGCCCTCGGACACGTTCCGTGGCGCGTACCCTGGCTACGTCGCGCGGCGCGTGCCTTGGCACGTCCCCTGGCACGCTCGCTGGCACGTTCCGTGGCGCGTCCCATGGCATGTCACTGTGCTCTGCGGCGCAGCGCAAAGCAAAGCAGCACAAACCAGCCCCTGGCACAGCAACATTACCATGGATATCCTCAGCACTGCCATTGCCCATCGCCCAACAGAGGTGCCTGGACTCGTTTCCTTGCCTCGCAGTTCCAAATCCCTTTCCGGCATCGTGGGCCGATCATGTTCTGCTCTGGGGAGGAGGTTGCGTTGAGACATTTCTGCGAGGTGCGTTCGTGGCGTCGGGGGCGCGAACGTGGCGTATTGCACGAAGGCTCGTGGCCTCGGAGGCGCGAGCGTGGCGCATCTTGCAAAGCGATCGTGGCCTCGGGGGCGTGAGCGTGGCGCCATGTACAGGGGATCGTGGCCTCGGGCACGAGACGGTGGCGCACTTTGCAGAAAGGATCGTGGCCTCGGGGGGCGCGACTGGTTAAGCAGTTGACCAGGGCTCGTGGCCTCGGGAGCTCGAGCACTGCGTGTTTTAGCTGAGGCTTCTGGTTCCGAAGGCGCAGCTGTAGCTTAATTTACAAGGGATCGTGGCCTCGGGGATGCGACAAGTTTGTAATTTGCCAAGTGTCGTGGCCTCGGGGACACGAGTGCTGCATAGTTTGCCACTGGTTGTGGCCAAGGGGGCGCGAATGTGGTTTATTGTGTAGGGGGATCGTGGTCTCCGATGCGCGGTTGCTGAATATGTTTCGAAACATCGTGGGTTCGGGGGCGCGAAGGTGGCGCAAATCAAAAAGGAAGTGTGGCTTCGGATGCGCGGATGCGCCCTAATTATCCCTGGGTTGTTGCCTCGGGGGCGCGAGCGTGGCGTTATCTGCAAGGGATGTTTTGCGCCGGTGGCGCGAGTGTGGTGTAATGTTCAAAAGGATTCTGGCTTCGAGTGGCTTCGGGGACGCATATACGGCGTAACGTGTGGGGGATCATGGCTTCAATATTGTGTGATGTACGGGGGATCGTGGCTTCGGGGGCTTGGATATTGTGTGATGTACGGGGGATCGTGGCCTCGGGGGCGCGACCATTGTGTAATTTAAGTGGTGCCATGGCCTCGGGAACGCGACGATTGCACAAGTTGCCAAGGATCGTGACGTCGGTGGCGCAACTATTGTGCACTATGCAGGGGCTTGTGGCCTTCGAGGGCGCGATTAGTGCACAGTTCGAAAACAGAGTATGGCTTCGAGGACGCACATCCAGCGTAACGTCTCAGGGATCGTGCCATCGGGGACGAGAGCAGTTTACAGATTTCGGAGGGCCGTGGCCTCGGGAACACGGGCATTGTATAAGTTACAAAGGGGTCGGGGCCTCGGTAACCCAAGCATTGCATAATGTACGGTGCATGGCCCCGAGGATGCGAATATTATCATGTACGGGTCATTCGTGGCTTCGGTGACGCAGTTAAGGCGTAATTCGTCGGGGTTTAACGCTTCGGGACGCGAATATGATATATTGTACGGGGGAGTGCGGCTTCCAAGACGTACCTACGGCGTAATTTACAAGGGATCGGGGCTTCGGGGGCGCGAATCTTACATATTCTCACGTTCCCAGGGCCCCCAGCAATTCTGAGAGCGCCCAGGGGAAGGTTAGAGAGTCCTTTTGGTCCTTGGCC